ACGTGACGGGCACGTGTCGGGGCAGAACCGTGTCGCAAACATAAGCATCCGGATCATAGAGAACTGTGCACACAATAATTTCGGATGAGGGCCAGCGGACCCTATACATGCACTTTGGCCAGCCTCCTGTGATTGACGATGTCCGGAGTTGAATAAAAATGTAATGTTACGCACGAGAGAGATTAAATCCCTTGCTATAGTTCGTCAGGACGACGATAATATTAAAATAGGGTAGGTTGATTTTTCACTGTTTTTTAGAAAGTCAATATTGCACTCAGTGCGAAAAATGGGCTTGATGTGATGATTAATCACATGAAAAATTAGATACATACCTCTTAGCGATTTTTAAGCATTTAGTTATAAAGTTTCATCTGAAAAAAAAAATGTATCGAAATACTTAATTTCTGGAGATTTTTGCTTATAATCTGACTTCAAGATTTTATTCTTTCAGGAATAAATCTAAATAAAGTTGGTATTTCTTGTACTGGATGCATTAAATACAAAACAGATTCAAACTGGAATTCTAATTATGATTCACCCCAAGCAAAATATACAGTTTTGTACTGTATTCGATAAGTAAAAAAGATGTAAAATTGTAAAAGGTTATATAAAAGGCTAATCAATAAATAGGATTTTAGACAATTTGTTAGGACATAATTAATAAAGAAAATAGAAAAAATTCATATAACACCATAATACTGTTGGTCAGACATTATAAAACAAAATGTTTAAAATTTGCGTTGTTTTTAGAAAATCACACTAAAACTAATTCACTGTATAGCATTATATCATATTACAGAGTGCTGTTTGTAAATTATCGCCATTTTATATTTTTAATTACGCGTATGCGCATTGTTTGTTTTTGATTTTATTGACAATACAATATAGAAGGGTCAGTTGGGCACCGTCTGCGAGAAAAAAACCAAAAAAAACCACTACAACACAATTCACTCCGCAAGAAATTTGGAAACGGCTTCGTATTTGCGCTGGAAGCTCTAATACGAACATTTCAGTGTGTTTGGGTGTCAATCTGAGGACAGTGCAGAGGATTCGGAAAGAGTTAGATGAGTCTAATGGTGATTACGAAGGTACGGCAGTTCGGAAAATTCACTCTGATCGTTGCGATAAGAAAAAAAAACACCCGAATTTGTTGTTAGGGCCTCAAAACTAACCACGGGGGCCTACATCAAGTCCTTTGAAGAGGTAGCGCTGCCCTGGGTCAAGAGGGTGGCGGCTGGAAGACCATATGAATGGCAACCGGATTCTGCACCATGCCACACAAGCAGGAGAAACCAATCATGGTAGTCAGACAATTTCTGAGACCACACCACCGCTTATATCTGGCCACCTAACTACCAATACTTCAACTTTCTTGATTATTATTTGTGGGGTACAGTTGAGCGAGACACCAACAAAACCCCTTGTAACACCAAATATGAATTCAAGACAAGGAATATGGCAGCATTAACCAACGCGGAAAACGGCCCAGAAGAGTTGCAGGAGATTCCGAAGTCGTCTGGAAGTCGTAGTTGAGTCCTGTGGTGATTTTATTGAATTAATTTACTCTTTAGTATTTGAAGATATTGTTGTGTAATGTTGGTAAATATGTATGTTAAAATGTTATGTCAATGTTATTTTTAATGTATGCGTAATTTAGACGACAATTTATCCATCGCACCCTCTATAGCAAAGTTGTTCATTATAATTTCCCTTTGAATTAAATAAAGGCCCTATTTATTGGACCAATAATTTACTAATAATTTGCTTCTACCTTGCTTCTTCTCCATGTACAATTTCTGAGAGCTCAGAGTCGTTAATTTAACTGCTCTTTCCACACCTTGCGATTGTGCAGGTAAATTTGACAACTGCAACGTCGTTCCAGTCTTTAGAACCTCTTGCAGTTCATTATTTGAAAAAACCTCCTGCAAGCGCTGGTTCACAAAATCTATTTTTGAGGGGTTAATCAAATTTGGCCAGTGTGTCACTTTAGACTTCAGGAATGGAATTTTTATATTTCTTTGGTGTCTCGCTACTTCTGAGGAAAAAAATGTTTTTATTGGAAAGTTTATCCACACTTTGTTATATTTTTGTGATGTAATTTGAATGAAATTTGAAAATTAGTCTTGTAAATTGACATAACTAATTAAGCATAAATAAATATTTATTCATCTAATGGACAAACCTTTTAATAGCCTCTCCCCTCACATACAATTCATCTTGACTTTAACATTCAGAAAATAATGTTTTCTAGAAGCAAGGCCAAAGCATTACGCTGTATATTTGTAATACAAAATTTAAAATGCATTACGTTGTATATTTGCAATATAACATTTAAAATGCATTACGATGTATATTTGTAATACAACATTTAAAATGTATTACGTTGTATATTTGTAATACAATATTTAAAATGCATTACGTTGTATATTTGTAATACAACATTTAAAATGTATTACGTTGTATATTTGTAATACAACATTTCCGTAGATTATTGTTTTATTCTCTGCATAATGTCGAAGTGTTAAATAGGAAAAAAAATGTCCCTGCCGATACTAGAGTTAGAACATTGATCGCCACTGAGCAAACACAGTCGATCCTATTATTGAATTAAGTAGACAACGTCACCATAGAGGAAACGCATATATGAGAGGTAGCGTGACGGCTAAACGATTGCTTCTTCTGTTCTATCCTCTATTACTATTCGGATCTCTATTTCTATTCTATCCTCTATTACTATACGGGCCGCTATTTTTTGCCCTATTCACTATACTATTTCTCTTTTCCGATCACTATACGGATTACTGTTCGAGCGAGTATTATCCAGTAAGTACTATTAGTACGAGTGATATTCGAAGGCGCCTGACACCATTATTGTTCAACGATGTTACTATAGTTGTATCAGCGATTAAAAAATCTATACTACAGCGAGCATTACGAAAGTGATGACGTGTATTCGTCAACCAATGTCAAACGAGTGTTCGTTGACATCACAAAAGTGCCAACGAGTGTTCGTTGACATCACAAAACGAAGATATACGGTTGTTGGTTATGGGAGTCATTATCTCTTTTATTTCCAAATCAACTAACTGAATATATATATATCTTACTTATTATAAAACGCAGATTGTGTGTGTGTGTGTGTGTGTCTGTACGTTTATATATTGGATCGGATTTCCTACATTTTTCAACCGATTTCAACAAAACTTCACAGGACCGCGTAAAATTACCTTGCGGTGGTTCTGACGGCGCCAAAAATTGGAAAAACACAATTGTTTTTGCACGAAATCAATTTGAAAACACAATTCTGTCGCAAGAATGAAAGGGGGACAACTCATATCGAGTTATACTTATTATAAAACCCAGGTTGTGTGTGTGTGTGTGTGTGTGTGTGTGTGTGTGTGTGTGTGTGTGTGTGTGTGTGTGTGTGTGTGTGTGTGTGTTCGTTTATATATGTGATCGGATTTCCTACATTTTTCAACCGATTTCAACAAAACTTCACTTATTTTTTTGGCAGGTATTGTTTCTCATTGTCTTGCACACTTTTTTCTTTATTTTTACATTAAGAATGCTTTAAAAATTCCATTTACAAGACAATTGTTTATAATAAAATTCTATTCAATCGGCAGAGACTCATAATGATTGAAAACAATGCTTTTGCTTGAGTTTGACCAATTTGTAAAAAACAAAAACAAAAAACAAAACAAAACAAAAAACCTAATTAAGACAATTGTTTATAATAAAATTCTATTCATAACGATTGAAAACAATGTTTTTATTTGAGTTTGGGTTTGAATAATTCGTAAAAAAAAAAGAACTAATTAAGACATGCGTGTCCGTCAACCTTAAACAATAATCTTTGTCAATTTTATTTTTCAGTCTTTATGATGGTCGATACTTGATCTATCTCTTACTGTTATATCCCCGGGCAACGCCGGGCTCTACTGCGAGACAATGATAAATTTTATAAGGCTGTACTATAAGGCTTTCACTGATCACCAGAATAAAATTCCAACGCTTCAGTTTTGAGTCTAAACATAATCTTTAAACTCTTTTCCTCAAGGCTAATGAATTGGAAAATAATCCTTTGTCTGCTTATTTATCACGTAAACCCGCAACTTGAACAGCGAGTGCAATACCAGAGTTCTGTAGTCGATCTCCCCTAATATTACAATTGTCTTCATACATCAGTGTTGGTTCGACTTGAAGACACAAGGCAAATTAATGTAATGTCTCGTCTTCATCATGGATTTTGTTGAGCATGCCCATCTACTCAAGCCATGAGGTGTGTCTTTATTAACCACAGAGTCAACCAGTGATACTGACTCAACGAAATAGCTTCCAAATGACGTCTACTATTGCTAATTTGTTTCCTATTTCAAAATTTGATATCATTAGCACCTTCAGTATCTGTCTATATTGCTGATATGAGGTATTATGTACATTATTTACATTATTCGGACTATTGTCCTCATCATTGTCGCCATATTTATTACAACGTTTCGGCCTTTCAGTATCTGTCTATATTGCTGATATGAGGTATTATGTACATTATTTACATTATTCGGACTATTGTCCTCATCTTTGTCGCCATATTTATTACAACGTTCCGGCTTTTCAGTATCTGTCTATATTTCAGAGATGAGGTATTATGTACACTATTTCCATTATTCGGACTATTGTCCTAATCTTTGTCGCCACATTTATTACAACGTTTCGGCCATTGTACGCTACGGCCTTCTTCAGATAGTTGGAATGTCGAACTGAACCCTTTATTTCACTCACTGGGGCAGACTGTTCTAGTTCCACGTGCCATGTTTAATGGATGTCAGTTATCAGTTATCTCCTGTTAATTCCCCTCTTCAAGTTCTCCATCGCCTTAACCAGGTATTGAACTCACACATTTTAGGTCCTGTCACTGGATCTAACCAACGCCTTTATCCACTGTGCCATGTGTCCTTGAGAACATATGAAACACTGGATAAAAGCCGAAAGTTGTAATAAATATGGCGACAAAGATGAGGAAAATAGTCCGACTAATGTAAATAGTGCATATCTCTTTTGCTTCAGCAATCCTCTACATCTGGGATGAAATTGTTCACTATTCATTGC